CAAAAATAATAAATTTATCCTGAAGCACTGCACAAGAATTTTATAGACAGTGGCTTTGGTGTCACCCCCTCTGCATCCCTATCATGACATCACTGACTGAAAGATTAAGTGAGGGTAGGTAAGATGGAGGGATGGAGGAGGGAAAGAGGGACGGGAGGGAAGCTAGAAGGGAGGAGGGAAGGGAAGAAGGGAGAGAGAAACAGCAGGACCCAGGCACCGGAAGCAGCAGGGCTCCACTCAACCTGAGGTGTCCAGAGGAGGAGTGTGGGGATGGGTGGGCTGGACCATGGAGAGGCTTGCAGGTCAGGCAGAGGAGCGTGGGGTCTACTGCCTCCCCCAGGGAGGGGCATGGTCAGAGGGGCTGGAGAATGTCGCTGAGGAAGCAGGTAGGAGGAGGTCGGGAAATAGTCCACGTGAGAGATGGGCAAGGGGGATGGGGCAGTGAAGCAAGAGGAGGGGGTACGTTTAGGGCAGATTACCTAACAAGCAAGGTAAGCATGGCTTACCAAAAACTTACTGCCGCTGAGTGGATCCTGACTCAGTGACCGCCACTGGATTTCCAAGGTGGTCAATCTTTACAGAAGTCGATTGCTCCAAACAGCTGGTGGGTTTGAACTGCCAACGTTCTGGTTAGCAGTCAAATGCTTTAGACCCTGCACCCCCAGAGCTCCTTCAGCATGGCTTACTTGTGCTTGTTTACTAATCTGTATTGAACAGGTTCATGTGAAAAACATGTGAAACTCTTCACTACAGATTAGTAAGTAAACACAAGTAAGCCTGTGCTTACCTAGCTTACTGGGTACTCCATCCTTATCTCCCCTCCTCTCCTCTCTTCCCAACTCCCCGCCTTCCTTAAATCACAAATGTGTATTGCGCACCATCTTTGTGCTATTCTAAATGCAGAGCTCACGTTGATGAACAAAAACACTCAATCCCTGTCTTGGGGAAGCTAACAGTCTGACACAGGAGAGACAGTAACTACCAGAGCCGGAGGCCAGAGAAGACACCCGGCAGGTTAGAGAGGTAGGTGCTGTGGGAGGAAAGCCAAGCAGGTGAAGGAGCTGGTGAGGGTGGGCAAGCTGTAACTGGGGTGGGGAGGGTGGGAGAGGCAGCGCAATCTGGGCAAGGGTGCTCAGGCAGAGGGAGCAGCAGGGGGAATAGAAGGAGGAAGGGGCAGACCAGGAGGTGAGGGCAGGAGATTATGCCGGCTGACAGGGGCACTGCTGGGACTCGGGCTTTGACTCTGAGGAAAACAAGGCCAGTGGGTTCTAGGCAGAGGATGTGACATGTGGAGAAGAGGCTGTTGGAGCGAGGGCAAAGTAGAGCCGGAAGGAGGCTGCAAGGACTCAGGTAGGAGGGGTGTGGGGCTGAGAGGGCTGCAGGTGTGAAGAAAGGACAACATCCCAGATGACTTTAGAAGGTGAGGTGGATGGAATTTGCTGGTGGACTGGGTGTGAGAGAAGGAGGCATCAAAGAAGACCCCTGGTATGTGGCCTGCACACTGGGGGGATGGGCCACCTCTCACCAAAATGTGGCAAGGCAGTGGGGGTCGTCAGAGAGAGGGGCAAGATGCAAGACTCACAGCTGGAAGGGCCACCCTGCCTTCCTCCATCGCCTGCACCAATGCTGGGCCTGGCCCTGGAAGCTCCCAACCCCTACTTCCTGAGGGTGCCTGCCTGGCCTGCTCCTTCTCCCGGCACAAACCTGATGGTGTTTCCTCTTCTTGTTGATGAAGTAGTTGAGAGAGAGGAGGCTCAGGATGACAGCGATGGCGGTGAGGGCAGAGGGTCCCAGGAGCTGGAAACAGAAGGGGGCAAAAGCCCAGCTGTTGGCTCTGAGGGATCTGGTCAGTGTAGGTTCTGAGGTGGGGGGATCCAGGGAGTCAGAGGGTGGCAGCCACTAGGTCATGGAGACTAAGACCATGATAGTCCATGGAAGGAGAGGCCTGCTGAAAATGGGGTCCTTCTATGCTAGAGAGGGGGATGATCCACTTCACACAGTGTAGGGGGAGGGGTGTTATATTTAAGACATACATCAAGACAAGCAGAGCAAGGGAGTGAAGCTGAGACCTCTGAAATCAGAACCTGGGTTCCAATCTTAGCACTGTCACTTACTGGCCTTGGGCAAGTCACTTACCCTACCTAGATGCAGTTTAGTCATCTGTAAAATGGCACTGATTCTGGCTGCTGCATGGGGCAGTGGTGGAATCCTCTCATCTTCCATGCAAAAGACCCAGGTTCAACTCCCAGCCAGTGCACCTGATGTGTAGCCACCGCCTGTCTGTCAGTGGAGGATTGCATGTGGCTCTGATGCTGAACAGGTTTCAGCTGAGCTTCTGGACTAAAATGGACTGGGAAGCAAGGCCTGGTGATCTATTCTGAAAACCAGCCAATGGTCCAGTCCCCAAGGGGTCACAGGGATGTGCGGGACCAGCAGCATTCTATCCTGCCGTCCGTGCCAACTCACAACCTGGTTGTCAAGCAGATTGAAGGTCAAGTGCTGAAGATGGGATGTGGCACATGCTGAGTGTGGCACATCTGATCAATTATTATCCTAGTCTTTATTGGTCCCCGACCAGGATTACCAGATTTATTTGAGACATACTTATACTAAGTAGTTATTTGCTGTTTATCTGAAATTCGAACTTAACTGGACATCTTGGGCAACCCTACCTCTGACCAGCTTTATAATTTTAGGAGACTTTCACAGCTTTGGTTTCTGATCTGGAAATCAAGGAGGTAGAGAGTAGGAGCAATCATTTTTAAATTCACTTCCTGATACCTCCAGTGGCCAATCAGGCTCATTCTCCAGATGAGCCTTGCTTTGCCCTTGTCTGTGGGCCTCAGTTTCCCATCTCATCCTTCAAGAACAGCTGTTTGCTAATCTCCTTGGGAATTGAGCTAGCACATTTACTGTATCTGTGCAGCAATTTTATGTGTGCTGACATGGTGCCACTCAGAGGCTAAATGGAGAAGTGCCCACAAACATCAGCCCACCAGCAGTATTGGAAAAATACTCAAAGATATGGGAGCAAAAGGTTAAACTTCTCCTCTCTGGCAGAAAATGGTAGCATCTAATTGTACAACCCAAGGCCCCTCTCTCAACCAGGATTTTATGGTGACCCTTTGAGCTAAGAATGGTTTGCCAAGAGCCAGGGAAAGGGTGGCATGCCCCCTCGTCCTTCCCTCTCTTCTTCCTAATAACAACAGCTAATATTTTATTTATTGTATGCCAGGCACTGTTCAAAGCATTCTATGCGTACTTGCTGAGCACCAAATGCGTGTCAGGTCCTGGAATTCAGTGTGAACGAGTCAGAAAAGTCCTGGCCCATGTCACACGGGATGGTTGGTAACAGTAGTAGGGGCACCATAATAACGACAGCACGCACTACAACATTCACAGACATCATCTCCATGATATCCCTATTCAGAGGCCAGTGGACACTATGGCCTGAGGGCCAAATCCTACTGCCTGTGCTTGTATATTGGGCCTGGTGGTGCAGTGGCTAAGAGCTTGGCTGCTGACTGAAAGATTGGTGGTTCGAGCCCACCAGCTGTTCCACAGGAGAAAGATGTGGCAGTCTGCTTCCATAATGATTGTTGTTATTGTTAGGTGCCATCGAGTTGGTCACGACTCACAGTGACTTATGCAGCCTTGGAAACCCTATGGGACAGTTCTAGTCTGTTGCTACAAGATGGAATCGACTTGATGGTGGTGGGTTATGGTGTTTATACAGCCAGCCCATGACCAAGAGTGCTCTTCACGTTTTTAAATGGTTGGAAAAAAAAAAATCAAAAGAAGAATAATATTCATGACACATGAAAATTCTATGCAATTCAAAGTTGAGTGTGCATAAAGAAACCAGGATTAGAACACAACCATGCCCATGCATTTTAAGTTGCTTTTAAGGTGCTTTGGTGATGCAATGGTTAAGTGCTCAGCTGCTAGCTGAAAGGTCAGTGGTTTGAACTCACTGGCTGCTCTGCAGGAGAAAAGACCTGGAGATCTGCTCCTGTAAACATGACAGCCTAGGAAACTCCGTAGGGCCATTCTGCTCCGTCCTGTAAGGGTGCCACAAGTGGGGATTGACTCAAGGGCATACAACAGCAACAACATGGATGCTTTTGCACTAAAGCCACAGAGTCGAGGATGTGACAGAGATGTCTGGCTTTCAAGACCTGAAATATTTATTATCTAGCCCTCTACCGAAAACCTTTTCCAAGCCCTGCACTCCCCCCTGGAGTGTTCTAGCATAAGATATTCAGACAATCCCCAGGCATAACGAAAAGTGATACTAGCAAATAACTATAAAGTACAACTGTGTGCCAGGCACTGCTTTAAGCACTTTACATGGATTAACACATTGAATGCCTCAACAATTCGAGGGCAGGGCACGAGTGTTCATTACTATGCCCATTTTAAAGATGAGGAAACCGAGGCACAGAGAGGTTCAGTAACTTGCTCATGGTTTTATACCTAGTTAGTAGTAAAAGCAGGATTCAAACCCAAGATCTTCAGCTATGGTCTATACTCTTTAAAATATACACCACAAATAAATGTAAGGAAGTCAAAGTTTGATTTTTAGCTGATGACTACTCTATACTTTCTGAATACTAGGTAGCAAATTTTTCCCCTAAATGTTTTTTCTGTCTTTTTTTCTGGTGGCTGATAGTGTTCCAGTTTTACTGGGATCTTCAGGACATGCTTAATCTGCCTAGTGGATACCCAACATCAAACCCAAGGTGTATGAACATCATCAGCATCAGCATCTCCATCCTTATTTTACAGGCAAGGAGAGTGAGGCCTAGAGAGGGTGATGCTTAGAGCACCCAAAACTAACCCTTTTCCCATTTTACCTGCCTACAGTGTGCAGATGGAGATGGACTGAGGAAGGAGAAGAGGAGAATTCAGAGGCTCTTTCAGCCCCGCCACACCTGCCACAGGAGGACAAAGCACACAAGGATCCAGACGAACGGCAGCCATAGTCCGTTGAGGTAAAGGATGCTCTCAGTCAACCGCTGCACATCCACGGACAACAGGTTGACCACATCCCCTACTGCACTGGCCTTTCTGGAGCCGCTGGACAGAGTCAGGACCTGGATGGGGCAGAAAGATACCACCTGAACTCAGAGAGAAGGAGGGGAGAGGACTGGGGCAGGGTGGCCCACAGCAAGGACAGAAGCAAGAGGTCGGCCACCTGGCAGGCCTGGGTTCCAGACACTGAGTGGCTGTGGGCAACTCTCTTTTCCCTCCAGCCTCAGTTTCCTTATCTGTAAAACAAGTTGGTTAAACCTCCTCAGCCAACATCACAGGGCCATTGTGAGAGCTGAGGGATGTAACAGAAGCAAAAATGCTCTGTAAAGCACTGGATAAAATAGTAATGAATAATAATAATAAACAAGATAACAAAGACACTGGGATAGCGACAATGACACGGATGATCATCTGCTGAGTGCTAATTATATCCCAGGGAGTCCCTGGGTGGTGCAAACGGTTAGGCACTCGGCTACTAACTGAAACCACCCAGAGGCGCCTCATAGGAAAGCCTGGTGATCGACTTCTGAAATCAGCCTTCAGAACCCCGCAGAGCACAGTTCTGCTCTGACACACAGGGGGCGGCTTTGAGTTGTGGTCAACTTGACAGGAACTAGTTCTGGTTTAACGGTCTCAGGTACTATGCTAGATGCACAGCTTCCTCCTTTTCTGTGATGTGCACAACTGTGCGTAGCAGGTATCACTGTATTTCATTCAACTAAAAGCTCAGCAATAAAACATTTCCTATTATTGCATCACTAAGGGAAAAAAATCACTGCCAATTAAATTAACATACATAAGACACATCTCAACTTCAGAGGTTTAAAAAGTGAAAAAAAAAATATGAGAGTAGAATCAGTGAGATACAGGATCATCAACCTCATTTTATAAACAAGAAAACTGAGGCACAGAGAAGTTAAACTACTTGCCTAAACTCAGAGGACTTGTAAGTAGCTAAGGCAGAACTTGTATCCAGGACAACTGAGGCATTACATGGGCTAGAGGGCCCAGCCATCTTATTGTTGTCGTTGTTGGGTGCTGTCAAGTTGGCTCCAACTCACAGTTACCCCACGTACAGTAGAATGAAACACTGCCCGGTCCAATTTCACTGCTATTCATAAGTGTGGAATTTTTCAGAAGTGGATAGCCTTGTCCTTCTTCTCAGTCTGTCTCAGTCTGGAAGCTCTGCTGAAACCTGTCCACGATAGGTGACCCTGCTGGTATTTGAAATGCCAGTGGCATAGCTGCCAGCCTCACAGTTCCAGCGAACTACCACAGTACGACACACAGAGCAGTGGTGGGATCAACCAACTAGCCTATGTCATTTCTCATACCTCCCCGGCACCAGCCTGGTTCTCTGGTAGTCCCAAATGTGCCCCAGTCCTGGGGTCATAGTGGTCCCCATCCAACCCATTTGAGGCTAAGTTCTACTTGCAATCCTTTCCAGAGGAATGATTGCTGAGTATGTGAAGGAAAAAGTGAGGTAGTGACTGAGTGCAGAAATTCATTCATTTAACTCATCTTTAACGAGCACCAATGAGCCCTGGTAGTGCAGTGGTTAAGTGCTTAGCTGCTAACTGAAAGGTCAGTGGTTTGAACCCACCAGCCATTCTGTGCGAGAAAGATGTGGCTGTCTGCTTCCATAAAGAACACAACCTTGGAAACACTATGAGGCAGTTCTACCATGTCCTGTAGGGTCACTATGAGTTGGCATCGTCTTGACAGCAGCGAGCTTATTAAGCACCTACTTCTGAGTATACACACTAAGCTGGGTACTGGGAGGACAGCGTGCACAACAGAGACAGGGGGCTCACTCTTCTAGGGCTAGATTCTGAGTTAATGAATTCTTTATTAAATATAAATAATCAAACCTATTTAACTAAGTAATTGGTTCTTTCACAGCAGTGGTGCCCAGTGCTGGAAGCAGCCATGCAGAGGTAGAGTAGTCAGGTCTGAGCTCAATAGGAGAGGGGAGATTGGTAAGGGCAGCACCCTCCAGGCAGTCTTTCTCCAGGGCTCAACTACACACACAGAATGGATAGGCCACATCTACTGCCAAATGCTCAGGAGAACATGGGTCAGGAAACACAGCTGGCCAGCAGGACAGTCTCGGGAGCCACCCGCACGGCCATCCGGGAGCTGTTCTCTTTGTTCCCCTCCCTTAGGTGCCAGCTCAAGTGTGAGAGAATGAGACTCACACTGAACAGTGTAGGCTCCACTGCAGCTTGGATGTCTCAGGCCCCACAGCAGCCAATATTTCTTGAAGCAGCTTCATGGGCTTACATTCCAAGGGCTCTCAAAGCCCAAAGCTGTGCTAATCGACAAGACTTCTAGCCCAGCCTCAATTTACCAACCAGTTGTGTAATTTTGTCCAAAAGCTCTATTGCCACCTTTATCTGGGTTCTACACAGCCAGCGAGTTAACCCTTTATCCACATGAGGGTTGAGTGGCAGTTAATTAGTAGGGTGGGAGGAGTGTCCTGGCAGTGGGAACAGCAGGTACAAAGGTCCTGAGGTGGTTTTTGAGGAAAAAACCTGGTGTTTTTGAGGAACTGAAGGAAGACCTATGTAGTTGGAAGGGGATAGGAGTCAGAGGAGTGGTTGTGTGATGGGATGGGACGTGTATGACATGGCATGTGTGGCAAGAGCAGATCAAGAGGTGCCCAGGGGTTAGATTATGCAAGGTCTTAATGGAAATAGCTAAGAAGGTGAAAGTGGAGTGTGTGTTAGCAGAGTCGTGAAGAAGTTCTCAGCCACTGATAGTGTCATTGGCTCAGTGGCCTCACCCTTTCTGCTGGAACTATTTCATGCAAGTTAGGACAGGAGGGAGAGAAGGGAAGCCTGAGTCCTCCTTCCAAGGCTCACCTTTCTGTTCACCAGGCCGGTGATGGCAGTCCGCAGCCTCATCTGCAGCAGCTTCAACCTGTACATGTGCTGTTGCTCAAACAGCGTTTGCAGGCACGCACAGAGGAACATCAGCACCACAAGCAGGTAGCCTTTCCAGGCTGGGGCCTTGGGATCGCTAATAAACTCCAGAAAAAAGCTTGGGGCAGAGGGAGAGGGAACAGCTGGTAAGAGGAGGTGCCTGGGATGTTGCCTTTGCTCAAACCTAGTCAGGTATGGAAGGAGCTTTGGTGGTGTAGTGGGTAAAACAAGCAGTTCAAACCCACCAGCTGTTCTGCAGGAGAAAGATGAGACAATCTACTTCCATAAAGATTTATAGCCTTGGAAACCCAATAGGGGTCACTAAGAGTTGGAATTGACTCGATTGGCAATGGGTTTGGGCCAGGTATGGAGGGTCAGTCTGGTACATTATTTGCAAAAGTGGCTACAGTTATTTCCCCCACTGTCCACACCCCTTTTCCATCTGACTTTGTAGCTCCTCCCACCAAAAGGTGGAGCTTCTGTCCTTATCCCTTGAATCTGGGCTGGCCATGTGACCAGCTTAGGCCAACAGAGTAACATGGAAGTGAAATTGTACCAATTCTGAGCCCAGGCCCAAGGGAGCACACAGCTTCTTCTTGATCTCTTGGAAGCCTGCCAAGTCGCCATATGAACAAGGCTAAGTCAGCCGTTTGGAGCATGAGAGACCACGAGACCATGTGGAGCTGACACAAGCCATCCTAGCTGAGACCACCTCAGACTAGCCAGTCTCCAGCCGACCTAGCAGCTGATTGCAGACATAGGAGTGAGCCCAGACCAGGCCAGAAGAACTGCCCAACTGAGCCCAGAGAAAACTGCTGCCCCACGTGATCATGAGCTAAATAAATACCCATGCAGTTTTAAGCCACTACATTTTGGGATGATTTGTTATCCAATGAAAGCTGATACAGTCAGGTTAGTGAACTCATTTTCCCTCCCTGCCGACAGTCACTTTCTCATTTATGTTTTTCCTTCCTCTATATCCTTCTCACCCACCCTCTGGTGCCCTGTACCAGGAGGCTGTGAAAGACAGAGCACGGGCAGAGGGCAGAAGCAGAGGTGAAGCCCCACCGGCCTTGGAGAGATGCTGTTAAGGGACAACAGGTCTTAGCAAGATACCCAAGGTCTAGACCCACCGGAGAAGCTTGGGTACAGTGAACCTGAAGACATCACTGATGAGAAGGCTGAGGGTCGCCAGGAGGAAGGTGGAGCAGGACATCCGCCAGATGGCACCCAACAGCAGGTTCCTCGTATTTTCTTTTTCCTGTAGGAAGGCTTCGGTCTCCTGGGCCTCTGCACCACGGTCTCCTTTCCTTTCAAACATCACCCTGGCGTGCCTTAGGGAAGGAGAGAAATTGGTCTTTTATGTACACTCAGATGTTAAAGGATTATTTTCCCAAAAAGGGACATAAGTGTGCATGGAACCAGCCTCACTCTCTACCTCCTTCTTCCTATCAACCAGCTAACCTACTTTTTATTTTATGTTTTTTACCATAGTGAAAATATATACATCAAAATATTCACCAGCACAACCACCTCCCCATTTACAATTCAAAGGCATTGATTACATGTTTTCATGTTGTGCCACCAATATCTCTTTTTCCAAAATATTCTACTTCCATTAACATAAACTCAAATGCTCCCTAAACAAAAACTCTCCCTTTACCTCCCTCTCACCCCCAGGCAACAAACAACACCCATTGGTTAAGTTGATTCTCACTCATAGAGACCCTATAGGATAGAGTAGAACTGCTCCATAGGGTTTACAAAGCTATACATCTTTATGGAAGCAGATTGCCATATCTTTCTTCTGTGGAGCAGCTGGTGGGTTTGAACCACCATCCTTTCAGTTAGAAGTACTTTTGGTTAGCTGCCGAGCGCTACAAGTACTGTGCTACCACCCCTGGCAGCCGCCAATAATCTTTGGTTTCCATATATTTGCTTATTTTATATTATAAGTGAGCTCATACAGTATTTGTTCACTTGTGACTGCCTTAACTCACGTAATGTTTTCAAGGTGAACCCACTTTTAAGATAGTCAGAGTGGGTTCAGGGTGGGGGCAGGAGCACACCCCCAATATCTCCTGGATGGTGATGAGAACGAACATGTACTGAGCACCCACTATGTGCCAGGCAAGGAGCTCTGGTGGTGTAGTGCATAAGGCATTTGGCTCTTAACCACAAGGTCAGCGGTTCAAACCCACCAGCTGCTCTGTGGGAGGAAGATGAGACAATATACTTCTGTAAAGAATTACAGCCTTACATTTATGCAAAACCAACAGCCAATATTACCCTCAATGGAGAGAGACTGAAACCATTCCTCTTGAGAACAGGAACTAGACAAGGATGCCCACTATCACCACTTCTATTCAACATTGTACTGGAAGTCCTAGCCAGGGCCATAAGGCAAGAAAGGGAAATCAAAGGCATCCAAAT